ATGTTCTTTATAGCTGAGTCATATACTGCCAACTTCTCTTGCATCTTACCATTTGTTCCAATGAGGTGCTGGAGCATCCCCTTGATCTCTACCATGTTGTTATCTTGTTGCTGAGGAGGTAGCTGATATGTCAACTGTTGCTGGTTCTGCTGTGAGTATCCCTGTTGTCTCTGGTGGTATGGCACCATTTGACCTTGAGCTTGCATGCCCCCAGGCTGAGGCACATTGGGTCTGTATTGTTGATTTGGTACCGGTCTCCACTGTTGTCCTCCTTATCTCTGACCCCCAAAGTTGTTAACATAATTCATATCTTCCCTTGCTCCTTGATTTTCACCTTCTCCGCTCCATGGACACACATAAGACTGATTAACACAGGGTGTACACAGTCCTCCATTTGTCGTGTCAACAATATGCACCTGTTTGGTACCAATCTCATCTATCTTCTTTGTCAAAATACTCATCTGAGTCATGAGTGTGGCCATGTTCTCTGCCTGCGAATTATTTGGGTCGAGAGGTACTGAATGCACTATAGGTGCCAGTGTTGTACCTCTAGCCATCCACCTCGAATTCTGGGACATCTTGTCAAGAAGGACTTTGTACTCGCTGAATGTCTTACTCAAAAATGCACCTTCAGCTGAAGCATCCACATTGGCCTTTAGATTGTCAGCTAATCCCATGTAGAATCTTTGGCCAAGCATCTGGTCTAGAATGTCATAGTGAGGACACTTCACCAGCATCCATTTAAATCTTTCCCAAGTTTCTTGCAAGGTTTCAGTCGGCTGCTGCTTGTACTGCAATATTTCATCAATTTGCCTTGCAGTCTTGTTGGGCGGGTAGAACTTATTCAAAAACTGCTTTACTAATTCCTCCCAGGTGACAATGGAATTGATTGGGAGCGAATTTAGCCAAGTCTGAGCTTCCCCAGTCACAGAGAACGGGAACAGTAATAGCATGATAGCTTCTGGGGTCACATTTGGCTGCCTTTGAGTCACACAAATTGACAAAAAAAATTCAAATGTTGTTGAGGGTCTTCAATGTGTGACCTGGAAAACAATCCTTTATTTTGTAGCAGATGTAGCATGTTGTTGGTGATCTGGAATGTCTCCGCTTGAATTGCGGGCACAGCTATGGCAGTTGCCAGGTTGTCAGTTGTGGGTTGAGCCCAATCATAAAGTGTAGCTTCTGGCACAAGAGGTGCCACCACTCTAACGTTTGGGTCAGCTGGCTCATCCCTGATGTTTCCGTTGACGTTCTCTACGTCACCCATGTCAAATTCAAGCTGGTGTGGTTGTTGTGATTGTTGGATCCTACTGTTAGCACGGTTCAATGCCCTGAATGTTTTCTCGGGGTCTGAAAGTCCTTCAAGCAGTTCTCCAGTCCTCGAAGAATTTCTAGGCATACACCTGAATTCCACAAGAGTTCAGATGTTAGAATTTCAATGAAAATTGTTTAACACCTTTGAAAATTGATTTGAACTAATAATTTTTAACACTACTTCTAAGTTGTAATAAATAACACCGTTAGTTCCCCGACAACGGCGCCAAAATTTGATAACGCCCAACTATGCCCTTTAAAGGACAAAGCGGTCGCTGCAAATATAATCCGGCTTTAAGTCCGGAATCGAATCCTCAGGGAACTATCCTACCTATTACACTTTTCGGCAATGTTATTATCAACTCAACCAATCTCTAGATGCAAGATTTTTGATCAATAAAGACTGGGTTTTTATTTAACTACTTCAACTACTATTGAAAACAACAATAAGCTAAAACAAAGATAATTCAATGGTAAAAAGGTCTAGGGCATTGATTTCCCCAATTGCTAGTTTAGGTCTTGATTCTTCCGCTATAATCTCGCCGTAATACTATATGAGGATTAAGAGTTATGGGCTATCGTAATTATCTCTCGATCAACTACAATAATTTACTAGAGCATTCTCTCGAACTACTCTAGCTGACAATGGGTATGCAACTCTAAATTATCCCACCAAAGTTTTGTTATCTCTAAACCCACTTTTAAGTTCAAGTAATGAATCTCTTCAATTACCCAAAAGTGGTGTTGTTCAACANGGCCCATTCAATTAATCACCATACAAAACGTAGTTGAACAATCATATCATAAACCCGGCTCGATTATAACAACTTGAGTCAAAACTTCAACCAACAATTGGTTCCATCAACCCTAGATAAATGTTTAGCTACTCATAACAAAATAAGCAATAACTACTAAATTGTTCATAATGTAAAATTGCAAGAATTAAAAGGAGATAGAAAAACTCTAATGTTTGGTTGATCTTCTCACACTTGTTCTTCCTCCAAAAATAGTCTAAAATTAGCTTGTTCTCCCAGTTGGGCGAGTTTCTAAAGCTTATAAGGGTTTTACAAAAGTTTCTCCGAAATTACACTTTGGTCCTCAAACTTCCAGCTGCGTGAACAGTTCACCGCAGTCGTGGCCAACCGCGGTCGACCGCGGTGAATACTGACCTTTCTGCCTTCCTTCATTAATCTGCCTCGGTTCGCCGCGGTGCCACCGCGGTCGCGGTGGTCTTCTTGCCCAGGCCATTTATGCTTCTTTGTGTTCGGGTACTTCTTGAGTGGGTGTTTTTCTTCACATTATCGCCTCCAAAACACTCCATGTTGCTTCCTCTCCTATAATATTCCCTCCTAAACAAAAGAACACTATTTAGAGCATTTTGTTGGCAAATTATCTATAAAACAACAACAAAGTATGGTCCTATTAAGGTGTAAATATCGACTATATAGCCTACTATCAGTATGCATGTGTTAAAAGATCCACTAAAAAGTATAAATAATAAATTTCAAACCTGATAAATGAAATGGATCGTAGTAGATCTCAAATTCAAACTCTTAATGTTCAAATTTTGGATCCGTCTGTGATGAATTGGGAGTGTGGGTTCTAAATCATATATGTTACTCTCCTATACTTGGTTTCCACACAAATACACACATATATTAGAATCTAGTGCTCCATGACTTAGGCCTCATTTGTTCCTTTTTAAGATTAAGATGTTTGAATCTGAATACACATCTGAATATTAAAATGTGTATTAAGATTAAGAAATCTGAATCTGAATATGCACCCGAATATTAAAATGTGTATTAAAATCTAAATACTAAATGATTAAGATTATTGTTGTTTAATTTCCGAATGTATAAAATTTATCTTTATTTGAAAACTAATAAACATAAAATTCAAATAAAATACTAATTAATCTAATATTCTATCAATAAAATATACTTTTTAAAATATGGTAGTTAGTAGTGGTGATGGCTAACGATTGTGCGTGTGAATGCCGACTAGAGGCAGTGGTTGGTGGTGGTTTTGGGTAGTAGCTAGTGGTAATTGATAGTGATGGTGGTTATGGTAGAGGATGGTGGTGGTGGGTGGTAATAGTTAATAATGATGGGTAGTAGTGGTAATTGTGATTGTAATTGAGGAAGGTGGTGGTAGTTTATAATGGTGGGCAATGCCGGCTATGGTTGTTGATGGTGATGCGGTGGTTAGTTATGGTAATTGAGGTGGATAAATTTGTGGTTGTGAATGATGGTGGTGGGAGTAGTGGAGATGGTGGGTGGCGATTGTCGATAATGGTGACGACTATGATTGAGGATGGTGGTTGTGATGGTGTTGGTGGTGGTTGAGTATGGTGATGGTGGATGACATGGTAACAGTTGATAATGGTAAGCGATAGTGGCAATTAATAATAAATGTGGATGATAGCATCTTAATAAAATTAACCTTTTATTGTAAATCTTAATCATATAGACTAGTCTTTTGTTGTCGTATATTCGTTGCGGCACTTATATATCAATGAGACATATTTAGTATTACTATTATCTTGTTTGTTTCCTCGCGCGGTTAGTCCATAGAGCTAACTCGATCGTTGCGACCGATATTCTTTCCCATAATAAAATAATTGGAAGGCTGTTGTGGAAGTTGTTTTTCGTTGGGACCGGTTATTTTTTCCATAATAATAATCATAGCGGAGGTTGTTGTGGAAGTTGGTCAAAGACAGTTAGGGTGAATCGAGATGCGGCAGGCAAGGCTGAGGCATGACTCGTGTGAGACTGATGCACCGTGTTCCACTTTACCTAGGGCCAAATCGGTCTCACAGCAAATTAAGACCTAGGTAGGGCCGTGGGCTAGGGATCGCTCTGCGTGTGAATTAGACGCGCCTATTCGTTATCTAAACTTCTTTATCTTAAACAATTGTTTTTGCACATGACCAAAAAATTTCAGAAATCTTCGTTGTTCTTGAAGGCCCAACTCTTGCTCGTGAATAGTGATTGGTCCTTGACATATTTTTCTTCAATAAATGTTTCACATATTCTGTCTATAATCAATTTGGAAGATGAACAAATGTAATCCTCAGAACATTATGACAATCTGTTAGAGAGAGCTTGAATGTACTTGTTTGATAGTTATGTATACCAATATATAAACCAGTAAAGCTGATGCTTCTTATAGTTCCTTGACTAGCTAAGCTTTCTGCTCTCTTTAATGTAGCACTCTTTCCTTATTATTAGTTCCAACTTGCAACAAGAATGACCTCTTCAAATTTTTGAAACAACTAAATATTAAGCTTTACGGTATATCTTTATGGAATGCTTTACAGACACATAAATAAAATGTTTAGGATTACAAATTCTAAAAGTTTTTTCATTCCCCCCCATCGGGGGCTCAGTCAAATAGTCATTTACATTGAAACAGAGCGAGCATACCACAACATTCTTTGCATTCTACTTCTAGAAAAAATGTATTTAAAATGGAAGAAACCCATCCATCTGTTATGACTTCTAGTCTTGCTTTAGACAACAGTGACATTTTTGTCAACCTTTAATAACAAAATATCACCAAACAAACACTAGAAATAATGCAGAAAATGTTATCCCAAAGTAATATATTGTCCACGTAGAACATATATGAACCTTGTTATCCGTAAATACTTGAATATAAAATAATTCTGGGACAAAAAAACAGATTTAAAATCACGTGGACTTAGAAGAAGCAAAGGCTATTTACATTACCATGCTTGGTCTTGTTCTTTTCAAATTCGTTAGATACAATCCTCGGAGAAGCTCACAAGCTTTCAAAATAATCAGAGTAGCATTTTGAGGAGTTAGGCCTCTTCCCAAAAGGAAAAAGTCTAGCCAGCTTACTCAAAGATGATGTTTGTGAGGCACAAAAAGCAACTGAGAGTCATCAAAAGGATTTGAATGACCTTATATACAATATCAAATTTACACCCTAGAACAGTGTCGTTTATTGCAGAGGAAACCTTGAATGCAGTCCATAATGAACTAGATACCAAGATTATCCTTGAGCAAACGAATAAGCGAAGTGCTGCCCTGAGTTCTGTTCTTACGAGAAGCTCCTTTCTTTTCTGCCTTGACTCCCTGCAATAAGTTGTTTAAGTCAAATGTGTTTGTACAACAAAAGAGCTTGAAGTAGAAATATTGCATCTCAAACCGGGGGAAAGGAATTCCATCATGAAAATTTATGCATCCTACCAAACATGGAGACACTAAGTTGAATTATTTAAAATTGGATACAGATAATGGTTAATAAAAGGAAAAGGAAAGCAATGACAACAGTGGCTGCAACAAAAACCGAAAATGATAAGCACCAGGAATTCACCTTTGGTTTCTCATTCTCGTCCTTGAAGTCTATATTGCCTATATCTTTTAATAAGATAGACGAAACTGGTAGAAGTCTCCTGGATAAATTATTGAATGAAGATGAATAAGCAGCAGACAATACTATTAGGAGCTGATGTAAGCAAACTAAGCACGTGACATACCTTTTTGGCCTATCTGCATTCTGAAGTTTAGTGCAGGAACCATGTTTGGTAACTGCTTCAGGTGTGTTGTTATCATGGCATCCTAGAGCATGTACAACTTCCTCGGGCATTAACATTGTCGATGGACCCAATGGTTTCTGAATCATATAAGAAAATACCTATATTATTTCGGAAGAGCTCTGAAGATATAAACTTCAAAACAGTTCAGATGAAACAGGTGACACTGACAGTATTTTAGGCCACTTTGTAAAGCTGGCCCTTGCTTCCTCAAGAAATCATAGAATTAATGTATAGGCTTCTCTAAGGAAGACGAGTTGCAATAAGTACTTATCTATATATTTGTTCTACAGTAAGACGGTTTTCTTTAGAATAAACTATCTTATTCTCAAATATATTCAGAAGGCTTATCTTAAACTAAGCTACCATGTTTTCATACTGTTTAATTTAATATTGAAATATATATTTTTAGATTCAGACAAAACTAATGTAGTTAATAATAACCGAAATTATGAGCAAACATGGTGTCTGAATTTAAGGACATATCTATTGCAAACAGACACGATTTCTTGGTTTATTAAAAGCCAGTTATTGAACAGAAAAATAATGATAGAAAAAAATTATGGTCAATTGCAAGGTATGAGGATTTGAATTCCACATCGGTATTGTAATGTGATGATGTGGGTTTTATATAGCTTTGGGCTCTCCACCTTAATAACTAGCTTTGAAGGGTGTGGTTCTCCTATAGGTGTTTATCAGGCGGGCTGGGACGGGCTGAACGGGAAAACCCCCTGCATGTTCGGTTAGCGGGCGGGCTGGGAAAACGGGCTGCTGGCGGGTTGGAAAATTTCAGGTTTTTTAGGGCCCGTACGTGTTCGGGCGGGCCGCAGTTTTTTTTTTAAAAATTAAATTTTATTTTTCTTATTCAATGTTATTGATAGTTAAGTATTTGCAGTTAGAATTAAACTTTGAAGTTTAAAGTTTAAATTTGAAATTTGTATTTTAAAATTATAAAATTGAAAATTTGAAAGTAAGTGGCTACAAAAAATTATTTAATAAGACCAATAGGCAATATGTAAGGAACAAACTCCGAAGGCTTTCATTTTATATTTTTAATACTTCAAATTAATTTGCAAGTTCTTTTTTGATTTTTTTATTTTTGAACTTGCAAATTAAAAGTTTACAATAATTATAAAAAATAAGAAATAGTACATCACATGCTTTGCATCATTTTTGTAAGTTCTTCCATGTCAACATGAGGTTCTTGGTTTCCGGCATTGGTTGAATCGGAACCATAAACCATTATATCTCCAATTTCTTGGTCCGCCTCTTCGTCTATCTCGTCACGCCCTTGATTTCGCCGTTCTGATCTTATCCAATCTCTGAAGCACCCTTAACATTTTGAGTTTGACTAGCATTACCAGGTGTAGGTGGTGGTGTTTCAAGATTATCGGGTGATTGAATATCATCTAACATATCATCCAAATCATCATCTATACCAAAATTTTCTTGCATTCGCTCATAATCTACATTTAAATTTTCAGGTGAACTTTCAGAAATATGTGTAAAGCTACTAGAAGAACCAACACCACCTCTTGTTCTTTTGGAAGTTTTCTTACTACCACCTCTACTAGTGCACGCTTTTTTGGCCGCTCTAAATAAATCCATTATGTAAATTAAAATAAGAAATTAAATTAATAATTCTAAATAATAAAATAAGTGTACGCCAAATAAGAGAAAGAGATGGAACGAGTGTATCGGGATTCCGGATGCCGCACTAATTCAATTGATAGACCGAAACTTGATAGTTGATACTTTATACTTGAATACTTAATACCACACTTCACTTGAATACTTGATATTTGATAATAATAATTTTGTAATGGCTAAACTAAATAATTGATGAACTTGAAATAATAAATAATTGAGAATTTGAGAATTTAAGAACTATAATATCAAGAGAGACTTGAGAGAGAATTAGAGTAGTAAGAGAGTGAATTGTGAGAAAAAATGAAGAAGAAGGGGGGCTATTTATAGATTTTAAAAGGTTAAAAATGTAATTTTTCAATTATTAGGGGTGGGAGGGCTATATTTTTAATGGGGTGGCCGAAATGGCCATTTTTGCAAAATCTAGCCGTTCCCCAATGGTCATTTCTCAATTTGACCGTTGGGAACGGTCCAATTAATTTTTTTAAAAAAAATTCCAACGGTAACCGAGCTGCTAACGGGCTGCCGTTAACAACCCGTTAACGGATGACGGGTTAGGTGCCCCGTTAAGCTGAACGTGTTCGTCCAAAACCCGGTCCCCCTACCAGCCCGCCCTATATGCTACAGTGCCGGGTTGAATCGGGTTGAAAACGGGTCTGCCCGGCCCGATTAACAGGTTTAGGTTCTCCCTAGGTTGTATCAATTATATCAGAGCCACCCACCATCCTCCGTGTCCATCATGTCATCGATGGTGACACTGGTATTGCCGCTCAAGACTAAAAATGTCTAGCACATATCTAACCGTCGAGGACGATGAATGTGGAACATGGTGATTTGTTATGTTCCATTGCAATGTATGAGACTTGAGTCCCACATCGGTATTGTAATATGCTGATGTGGGGTTTATATAGTCATGAACTCTCTCAACTCAATAGTTAGCTTATGGGGTGTGGTTCTACCTGGATTTTATCAAAAAACTAATGCAACGATCATCGTACTCCGCAGTTCTTACAGATTTTTTATACTGAAACCAATGATCTAACGAATTTCTTTTGCAGGGTAGACACTTTGATCTTCTCGTCAAATGCTAAAAGTTCCAACTCCTTTGTCACTTTTGGGTTTTTTACATCGTAATGCATTTTTGCAAAATCTACTAGCACTAAAGCCATTTGACGTGGAATTTAGCCTTAAGGAAAGACAGTTGTAGCTTGGCGTGAAGCACTTCTTCTTTCCTTAAGTAATTATTAGCAGTACTCACATCTCTCTACACTAACTGTTGAAGAGTCACACATCGGCTTTATAAGGGACGGGCGGACTCTTTATATGGTTGGACAATCCTCACCTCTTGAGTTAGTTTTTGAGGTTGAGTTAGGCCCAATGTCCATTTTTTAACATGGTATCAGAGCAGGACCCATCCTAATTCTCGTTTCCCAATGTTGAGTCCTCATATCGAATTGTCCACGCTCCAGATGTCTAGCCCCGTGCATGAGAGGGGGTGTTGAAGTGTCCCACATTGGCACTATAAGGAATGGCTGGTCTCTTTTAATGGCGTGGGCAATCCTCACCACTTGAGCTAGTTTTTGGGGTTGAGTTAGGTTCAAGTTCAATTTCTTTAACACTAACAAATTGCAATTCTGGTGATACTGGATTCTCAAGGTATTCGTAACTGCCAACCAGTAAATATATTATGGAAAGAAAAGGGATGCAAGAATCAATAGTCCGTACAAAGCTTAGAGGCTCAAGAGAGTTCTAACAACTAAAGAATAGTAGACTTTCTTTCCATATTTCGAATTCATAGCGAAGGGACTTTTAAGATGTCAAATTTTAGGAAAAATATTGGTTGTAGAACGTGGAAAAGATAAAGCTACATTTTATGAAATTTCACAACAAATACTGCAACCAACGAGGCCATGCTTAAACACTAATAGCAACATCATTGATTTAACATGCACTTTGGTAGGATGCTGGTAATCTGTTCTATTGTCTTATATAGTTTAAAATTTGAGTAATAGTAACAAGATAGAAATGAAGGGTGGCAAAAATCAAATAAGCTGCAAGTTCCATTTAAATAACTAATCCATTAAGCAATGTAAAATAACTTGATGAGGATAAAAAAATAACAGCAAAATTATTACACCTTTCTGATAAATGGAGCAGAAGAAAAATCTCGAAAATATCTTCCATGCATATACTGGTAAGGGGAGGCAAATTAGTCGCTGTTACACAGCAAAGACATCAAACCAACAACATTAATTTTAATTTACTGTTATTCTTGAATAACATAAATACTAGCTTGAGAACATGCACTGTTAGAACTAATGCATTTTAATATTAAACATAAGCAGGAGTGATAACTACCATAAAGGATACAACATGTGAATTACTTGTGAAATAGAAATTTAGAATAAAGGTGTGGTTTGACAAATAATATAACTGAACTGACCTTGTCCTCTTCACTTTGTGTTTGGTTCTCCACCACTGCAAAAGAGTTGTTATATTCAACGACGACAGATGACTCAGAAGAGTTGACTGTACATTCTGGAAGTACTGAATCAAAAAGCGCATGATCCTCTTCGAACGGGCTGGCCTCATCTTCGTTTATGAAAGTTGCTTGGGAAGTGCAGACTACAAAATCTCCACACATGAAACAGAGATTGGCAATTAGTGCACTCGAGTCAAACATCAAAGAGGATGTGACAAACAGAAGAATGTTACTCATGCTGTCCCATTTTTACGTGACACACTTTCCTTTTTAATCTATCGCAAACGGAATGATATCTTTTTTACCCCTCGCTAGGAGCTTCCCACTTTGCTCTCTTGGTGACTCGAACCCGCAACCTTAAGGTTGGAGGTGGAGATGCTTATCACTTGAACAACCCTTTGTCCCAAACAGAATGAAATATTTTTATATTTGGAAACAAATTAACTTTAAACTTCCCACTTTACCTATAACACGTGATTTTATAGCCATACAAATTTCTAGGACATTTTTTAAACTAAAAGTTTCAAAAGTCTTTTTAAACAACTTTCCCAGTCAAACATAGCCATATAAAATGGGGCGGAGGGAGTAATAGATATGGTACAGATCAAAGAGAGGAGAGGTAGTATCAAAAAGATTTTTTTACAAGTACTATTGAAGATGAATAGGATTCAGAACTTTACTATTACCAGAACTTTCCATTTCTTGCCCGTCCTTCTGATCAGTACAAGAGCGTGACCCACTTAATATAGCAGTTGCTTTGCCATTCAAACGTGTAATCTCTGCTTTCATTTCATTTGGTTTCATCAGATCTTGAACGCCGGTAGGATTTAGATCTTCAACACCAATAGGATTCAGAACTTTACTATTACCAGAGCTTTCCATTTCTTGCCCGTCCTCCTGATCAGTACAAGAGCGTGACCCACTTAATACAGCAGTTGCTTTGCCATTCAAACGTGTAATCTCTGCTTTCATTTCATTTGGTTTCATCAGATCTTCAACACCAGTAGCATCTCCAATAGAACTTTCGAGCTGCTGAGCAGTCTATAACAGATTGCATTGTTAGAACTAAAGCATTTCAGATTAAACATAAGCATGAGTGATAATTAGCATAAAGGATACAAAATGTGAATTACTTGTGGAATAGAAATTTAGAATAAAGGTGTGTGACTAATAACATAACTGAACTGACCTTATCCTCTTTGTTTTGTGTTTGGTCCTCCACCACTGGAAAAGAGCGGTTATTTTCAATGAAGAGAGATGACTCAGAAGAGTTGACTGTATATTCAGGAAGTACGGAATCAAAAAGCGTGTGGTCCTCTTCCAGCAGGCTGGTCTCGTCTCTGTTTATGGAAGTGGCTTGGGAAGTGCTTACTACAGAATCTCCGCACATGAAACAGAGATTGGTAATTAGTGCACTTGAGTCAAACATCAAAGAGGATGTGAGAAGCAGAAGAATGTTAAGAGATATGGTAGAGATCACAGAGAGTAGTATCAGAAAGATTTTTATACAATTACTGTTGAATAGGAATAGGAGATTCAGAATTTCACTATTACCAAAAAAATTCTCTTCTCGCTCGTACTCCTGATCAGGGCAAGAGGGTGACCCACTTAACAAAGCATTTGCTTTGCCATTCAAATCTGCACTCTCTGCTTTCATTCCATCTGGAATCTTCAGATCTTCAACACCAGTAGCATCTTCACAAGAACTTTTGAGCGTCTTAGCAGTCTATAACAGGTCAAATTAGTCGCTGTTACACAGCAAAGATATCTATCCAAGAACATTAATTTTAATGTACTGCTATTCTTGAGGAACATGAATAATAGCTCGAGAACATTGCATTGTTAGAACTAATGCATTTTAGGCTAAACATAAGCATCAGTGATAATTAGCATAAAGGATACAAAATGTGAATTACTTTCGAAATAGAAATTTAGAATAAAGGTGTGGTGTACTAATAATATAACTGAGATGACCTTGTCCTCTTCATTTTGTGTTTGGTCCTCCACCACTGGAAAAGAGCTGTTATTTTCAACGAGGAGAGATGACTCAGAAGAGTTGACTGTACATTCTGGAAGTACTGAATCAAAAAGCGTGCGGTCCTCTTCCAACAGGTTGTTCTCGTCTCTGTTTATGAAAGTCGCTTTGGAAGTGCGGACTACAGAATCTCCACAGGCAAAACGAAGATTGGTAATTAGTGCACTTGAGTCAAACATCAAAAGGGTGCAACAAAGAGAAGATCCTTAAGAGATATGGTACAGATGAAAAAGAGTAGTATGTCAGAAAGATTTTTATAGAAGTACTTTTGAAAATGAATAGGATTCAGAATTCTACTACTACCAGAACTTTCTTCTTCTTGCTCGTACTCCTGATTAGTGCAAGAGTGTGACCCGCTTAATACAGCAGTTGCTATGCCATTCAACTGTGTAATCTCTGCTTTCATTTCATTTGGTTTCATCAGATCTTCAACACCAGTAGCATCTTCAATAGAACTTTCGAGCTGCTGTGCAATCTATAACAAATTATCCTCACAGTTATATCATATAAAGAATGTCATTCCAGGGTTTACATATCCATAATTTCATTAAACAATGAAAATTAATTAACTAATTATTTAGAAGAACAAATATCTTTAGGAGGCCAAAAGTGTTCTCAGAAAGAAAAGACCAGAAGAAAGGAAAAGAATGTCTTACAGTGGAGTCAAGCCGCTCATCATTTCTCGCATGCGCAGATCCTTCCAAATGACAAGAATAAGCTTCAGATGTCACCTAAAAAGATAATTATAACCACAAAATAAGCAGCCTTCTTCCAACAAAAAGAAAGAGAATACCAGATTTCAAGTTGAAAGAGATGAAAGTTGTAAAAGGAAAAAAGTAAGAAACACGAAATAGAGTAATTCTTTTTGACAGTGTATATGGAAAAAATGCTTTCAGTCTCAAGCAGCTTTTCTACCTTACTTTTTCCACAAAGATGTGAAGACAAATTACACAGCTTCATTAGGGCACCAGAAAAAAAGTAATTCAAATTTCAAACAGCTAAACAATTCAATCTTCCATTTTATTACTCTGTACAAGNATGAAAGAAAACCACTCTCAATCTACTTCTAATCTCGTCATGAAATGGAAGAGAAAGAACCAGATTAGATGTATGGTGGAAAACAAGAAAGAGATAGGTATTAAAGAATTCAAAAATATATTCTCCAAGATGATCCTTGCTTATTTACCTCGTTGCAGCCAATAGATTGATGATCCTCAAGATCTAAAGAACTTTTTCTTCTGAGTTCATCCACTTCTCTGAAGGAAACCTCACTTGAAACCCCCTTCCTGCAGCAGCAGTTACTTTGCCAATCCATCAGTTCATTCTCTAGTTCAGCCCATCTTGTTTTCTCGATGATCATGCAGTGTCTAGGAGTGCAGGTTTCATTTTCATCCACCTGTTACGTAAAAGCTACTATTTAGTATAAACAATTATAGTTCCTAAATGGTAGAGCCCAAGAATGAACCCTTGAGGACATTAGTTAAGAAAACTTTAAGCAAAAAGTATATAGTTAAGAAAAACCACTCTCTGTCTACTTCAAGATCTCATCATGAAATGGAAGAGAAGAACCAACCTAAAAAAGGTGGACAAGAAAAACGCAAGTAATAGACAATACCAAAAATACATCTCCAAAATGACTCTTGCTCATGTACCTCATTCTGATCAGTGGATTGACGCGCCTCACAATCTAATGAACCTTTTCCTCTGAATTCATCCTCTTCTCTGGAGGATTCCTCACTTGAAACTCCTTTCCTGCAGCAGCAGTTACTTTGCCAATCCCTCAGTTGATTCTCTAGTTCAGTGGATCTAGTTTTCTCATTACTTAAGCAATCTCTGAGGGTGCAAATTTCATTTTCAGCCACCTTTACATGAACACAACTACTCAGTATTACCAAACGTAGTTCCTAAATGGTAAAGCCTAATAATGGATGCTTAAGTATATTAAAATCCAATAGTAGCAATGTTATGCAAAGAATATATTGTCAGCACACTATACCTCAAGTTTTCTCTTGTATTCTTTCAAGACTTTCCACAAAGCCTTTCCAAAATTTTGCAGAATCTGATGATTTCTCTCTTTTCTTTCCAATTCCACGTGATCAACTCTGAGAATATTCCTCTCATTTGCTTCAATAGTGATGATCTCCTCAGACTGAACAAGAACGTCTGCCAAGCTGTCATTCACTCCTTCCACAGCAGCTTCTATCCAACAGAAGCAATTAACTTTAAACACGATCCTCTATTGGACAGATTTTATGGTCCAATCTACAGAAAAAAATGGAAGAAAGAATGAAAGAGACAGAAGAAAAGAACTTGAATACCTTCATTCGGAAGTTTAGGACATTCATCGCTTCTTTGATTGATCTGCAAGAAAATTACAGTTGACATGAATAAATAATAGCTATGAATCTTGTGAAGGCTGAGAGTTGTTGGGTAAGGAAAATCTACGCCCAGAGGCGGATCCATGACTTTAGCTATATGGGTTCAACATTTAAGATTTTTTGTATTGAACCCATTATAATTTAAAAGTTATGGGTCTACATCTACTATTTATTGCAATTTCATTGTATTTTTACACATAAATTTATACAGTGCATGAAAAGTACTGGGTTCAGATGAACCCGCGACCCGAAAGCTGCATCCGCCGCTGTCTACACCAAAACGACCAGAAGAAATAGCTGCCTAAAAGCTGTTGCTTGAATAATTATTAGCAGTTCATGATAATTTGGCACATCTTCTGAAGGATTCCCAACCATAATTACTGACTTTGGGTACAGAACAGCAGCATAGCCCAGTACATCATACACATATATATAACTATGTTTGAGTCACATGTAGTTAATGGTATTGACAAGTCTGTCTTCTTCCATGACGAGCCATTCTCAAAAAATAAAGTTTGTCTTCTTCTATAATGATTACATTTTATTTAATTTTGTTTCTAAGTCTGTAATTAACAATATATTTAGTTCAGTACAACTCCCGAGTTGTGATTGTAGTGCTCCTATTTTTAATAATGTTTTATATTTAACCATAATAGGTGAATGAACGAAAGAAATAGACTTTCAAAATTTTGAAAGCAAATTGACTAAGGAAATATATGCACATCATCCTAATGAAAGAGGACTCGAACAAAATTTTGTTTCTTATCTTTTCATAATCGAGAAATCCCTAGGGCCAGTGGCTTACGGTTTGAAACCTGGTGGATTAATGGGTCTGCTTTCTATCCTTCTCCTCTTAAATACTAGGCTTTTATCCGTGGCAGGGTTCAAACCCGTGATATGAACCTAACCGGCTGACCCACACATCAGTGTTGTGCTCCTGCCACTAGACCAATTCCCTGGGAGCAGAACAAAATTTTTGTTTCCCAACCAGTATGAATGTTTTGCTTGTTTGATTCTTTAAAGTTGAGACCCAAGACATCGTCAATAAATGTCATCTTACAAGAGTCACTTTAAAGCATAAAAGGACCAGACTGGTTTTTCTTTCTGGGTTGAAAGTTAAAGGATAATCTTGAGAGACTAACTGAAACCGGTAATTCAGTAAGCAACTTCCATGTGGAGGAGCAGAGCCATTGGATTGTAAATAGAGGCACTACTCATCTCGATATTAAAAGGGAAAAGGATATAATTTCATTAACAGGATGAGATGCATCTGCATGTCAAAGCCTAAACTATTAAAACATACAAGTTTGGTCGGGGAGTAAGAAATAAGCTTTCACCACCAACTTAAATGGAGAAAATATTGTGTTAGACAACTATCTCATCTGGTGAATCATATATTAAAGCAGAAAGCCTATGGTGCAGGATGTAAAATAAAAATGGTCCAAATAAGATATACCTCACAATTTTCAATTCGACTCAACTTCATTCTTTTAAGCTTCCCCGTGCTAGGCGTTGTTTGCACAGGCCTCTTATTGTGCTTTAAAATCCCATGTTCTTCAACAATGTCAAACCTACATCAACAAGTTCTTCATTCAGATGGTCATTTTTGTTACAGAAAAGGTCATTGCTAAACCAATTGTTACAACGGCAGTCATACTTGATTTTTGTATATGGTGAAGCCTGCCTTAGCAGAAAAGAAGTATCAAGGTAGTCTTCTTCCCCAGGTCTTACAGTTAGAAGCTGCAGCAGGGACATAGAAAGCCACAAAGGATACAATGTTAAGAAACCTACAGTTTTTGTGGAGCAGAAAAGTTTGATGGACTGCCAATATTTTAAGCAGTTAATGACAGTTTTAAATATCTAAATTGATTTCTGCAGAAGTAAATGCATACCAGTGCCATCCGCTTCTTCCCTTCCAAATAATCTCGTAAGTATCTGGTCAACTATGCAAAAGAAGAACGCGAAAAATTACTAAGGAAATGAAGGATTTTCTAACTGACAAAAAAAAAAAATCTATCGAGAGCTGAGTATGCAATTTCACCTTCAACGAACAAAATCATTTCATAAACAGCCTCAACATTGGCTTAGGGCTTAAAGACTCAAACGGGAAAAAAAGAAAAAAAGAGCAGTACAGAACATATTTACCTGTAATGTTGGTCCCTAGTTAACTGTGCAGTGATATCAATAAACCAAATCTAGCAGTACAATCGCATTTTTGTTCAAGCTATTTATTAATGTAAATTTGTCTGAAGATACTTGCCAAAGATATTAGTATATTTATTCTGATAGCTCTACTCTGTGAAACATTAATTACACCATCATCTGTGTTTTAATAGGAACTCTGTAAGGTAACATTGGCATAGAAGCAAAAAAAGATTTATTTTCAACAAGTAGAAGTAAATATAAAGGTAACGAGCAGTGACTATAGACTAATAAAATTTCCTGGAAAAGTGCCAGAGAAGGATAACTAAGGAAAACATTACCAGAGAGTTTTGAAAGTGTTTCTGCATAGGTTTTCTGGGGTTCTTCTGATGCTCCAGTAATGACTGCACAGAACTATCAGTAGATTAGGACCAAAGAAAGAGTGTCATACCTCGACATTAATGAAACGGAAGTCATAAAACCAGACTGATGCTACATACCTTTAAGCACAGGCCAAACACCATCGAAGTGTTGTTGATAAAATTACTTTCGAGCAATCTAACCCCCTAAACATGAGTAATATTTTTAGTGAGATGCCGCAAGCCAGAGAAATACATTAACCACCAAATTTGCAACATAACACTTAAGGTCTAAGAAAGAGTCACAATCTTCTTCTTGCGTCTGAAGATCAAGATCTAACCTAGACAGTCTAGACAATAAAATCAAAGATACTAATGGAAATGGATCTTTTAGAATTCAACAAAATATCTTCTACATAATGGTATGATTTCAGTGACCACAGACAATTTGTTACCTGATTTCCAGTTTTCTTTTCCCTCTCAGCTCCAGCAAGGTCAACTATAGTCAGCACAGCACTGTTTGAGTTATCACCAACTTTTCCATCTGCCCTCTTATATTCACAGCGGATATTTATGATGCACTGTGAACGACTGCAAGGGTATTAAAACTGCCATCATAATAACTACAATTGCAACATGACTATGTAAACTTAACATATCCTTTATGTCCGTAAACTAGAGATTATTTCAAAGATCCATACTTGCCAATACAGAGAAGAAAAAACATAGAGATCTCGTGAATGGTCCATCAATCATTTCAAGTCTGAGTAGTAGAAGAAGTACTATTACAGTTTGGTATTAAAAAAATCACTTAAGCAAGAAATCCAGCGTTTGAAGAAGCCAAAACAACTAACACTGGATATATTTAGGGAGAGACACTAGCAAAGGTTTCTCAATCATTTCAAACCACAGCATAAAGCAAAAGAACAGCCATAGACCTACATAAGCATTTATATCCAACTCACCTAGATTGACTGTTTGAATTCGTCATAGCTGTCGCACGTTTTAAAAGTCCACATGCGATTAACGATTCAGCTTGCTGCGCATCATAAAGTACGGCCTATTCAGAAGTACCAGAGTGGACACTTATTATTTGATCTCTTTGAACCACACAAGTTATAGATTGAAAAAAAAAAAAAAAAAAAAAAAAAAAAAGAGAAGCTATACAGCAATTCAAAGGACAACCTCTCGCACGCCTTTAATAGATGATTGTTGGATGCATAAATCAGCCCCATCTTGTGATAAATCAAATATCTTTTCAGATTTTCCTTTCTCAGAAGAGATCTCAAACATGGACAAATAAAATATCCTGCACGTGATAAATCATGAAGAAAAGAGTTTATTCAATGCAGCATTTGAAGGACTTACATAGAACTGCAACTGTTTATCCATAGTTAAGAATGCAATGACTGTTTTAAGACAGTTCAAAATCTCATGAACCAGGAAACTGCAATAACAAATATATCCAGCCAAACATTATAAGTACAATAAACAGTAGAAATTAAAGCACCTTCGTGACTTCTTCTTCTCTCCTTCTTCCTGTGATAAAATTCGACGAAGAGCAAGAGGCACCATACCAGGGTCCCTTCCACAGCCAAAGATGGTATGAGTCTTCCCAGAACCACTTGGTCCCAATGCAGCTAACATTCCACTCTTACCCTTCAAAAAATCCTCAACTAAAGGACTCACTATATCTTCGTACACTTCCCTCTGCAACAAAAATGCCAATATCAATCAACAACAGCAACTACTACTGCTGCTGCTTCTAAATCCGAAACTAGTGAATCCTCGATACATTTCAACTTAATACTAATAATTCCTTTCACAAATGTGTCGATTTAATACTTCCATCCCAAATTATGTGATACTCTTTCCTTTTGAGTTTGTCCCAAAAAGAATACATTACAATATTAAAAATAATTCAACTTTAAATTTTTCATTTTACCCTTAATGAGATGATTTATAGTCACACAAGATGAGATGATTTATAGTCACACAAGTATGAAATGTCTATAGCTTGTTTTTAGACCACAAGTTTCAACAGCTTTTTTTCTTTCCGTGTAGTCAAACAATATCACATAAATTGGGACGGACGGAGTAGTAAGAATACAAAGAAAATGAAATTTTTTTATTCTAAAGATATAAGCAAAAATAACCTGAGAAGCTTGTGACGAGAAGACATGTGAAAAACCTTCATAAACTTCTGATTTAATACGTTTGGCGTCTTGTAAGCTCTGCGGAGGCAATAGGGTAACGGAATGTGCATCATTCACTGTCACACAGACTTCATTGCTCTTTTTGAGCTTCTTCGGCAACGCATTGGTGGACTTAGGGTTTTTAGGCCAAGCATTTTTAGTTGTTTTCTTCATTTCAGCAGCCGTTTTTTCTATTTTCGCTGTTTCTCGTTGAGAAATTAACGGTCGGACTCTCAGATATACCTTGAGATTCTCTGATGATGATGGATGCTCTGTAAGAAGTTGTTTTTCAGGGACTTCTATTGATAGAATATCCTCAATGGGGAATGAAGAGATGTTTCGCGGCGGCGATCGGGGAAGCGTAGTAGGAACAGCGGAGGATGGTGTCGGTCTTGCTCTCCGGGGAGGGTTCCGGCGAACGGTCACCGTGTACGGCGGACATGGCGATTTCGTCTCCATTTCTTCTTTTGATAAAAAGTAGTAGCAGTACTAGTTCAGTACTAGTGTATTTTAGATTTTTAGTACATCAAAAAGGGCGGAAATATTTGAATTAGAGGGAGTGACGTAAGCTTTTAATTACCAGAACCTTTGAATTTCTAGGCCCAACCAACTTCCTAAATGGACCAGCCCATAGTTAAAGGTCCAGTCTATTTGTATTTTTATTGGGAAACTACCAGCTATGTCTATTTATAAGTAGCTCATTATAAAAATTAGTCAATTTATAAAATATTACTAATATTAGCCAAATATTACTAATATTATCCAATTACCTATTTGCTGCAAACAAAGGTCAATTTTTTGCTTTCTTTTTAGTGAGTGTTATTAGAATAGATTGGACACATCTTATGGAGCTTGAATCTCAGTTTTTCGATGATTTGGTGAAATTTTGAGGTGGTTTGAATTGAAAATTCGAAGTAAAAACTAAACATGAAAATAAATGATATGTGTATCACACTATGTATCATATGTGTATCATATTTGTATCAATTGTGTATCACATGTATATCCATGTACACCTGTGTGTGAGATACATGCGTGCTACATGTTTGATACATGTGTCGCAGAAGAATTTTTTAAACTCGATTTAATTACGAATTTTGATACAAAACCAGTCCAAATCACCTCCAATCTTCAATAAAAACTATATATTGACTTATCTATATGTTTTCAATGAATTTCAACTACATTCATTAAAGAAGTTCCTTTTTTGCTAAGATTTTTGGAATATTGTATATATATTTTTTTTGTAATTCATCACTTTATTTGCTATCTCATCCATAAAATTTCCTTTCTATCTTGCATCTAATGTTGCTAAACACGCTTAAAAATATGGAAGGTGATTTTTGCATGTGATTCTTTGAGAGAAAGAACCTTGTTTATTTGGTTTTTCAATTTTTATATGCACTTGGCTAGTTTTTGGTTAAGTCTATGACTAATGGCTAGAGGTTGGTAAACTAAAACTTATTTGGGATGTTTGTGTAAATTTTCCATTTTTATTTAATTTTGTTGGTACACATTTTAATGAAATATTTACTTTTTTAACCACAACATATATCATTAAAATTAGAAAAATTACTTTCGTTAATCTTTATTATGTTTTGGAGAAACATAAATATTTAAAGACATATAAAAATGTATAATCTTTCAAAAGCAAAATGACAATAACTAGAAGGTGCAACACTATGAGGTATGAGGGTAAGACTCGTTTCAACGATGTTAAGTATTTACCGTGAAAATGGTAACAACAATTAAATTTGTAAATGAGACTCTAAAAATACGTGATCTATTTTTATGCTAGTTGTTAGAGCAATAGATGCTAAGAGTATGAGGTTTAACGAAGAAGTACGGGCTAAAGCAGGGCAGTAATCAAGCCAAGAAGCTTGCAGCCCGAGCCTCGGACTGGTCGATGAAGGACTTCGAGGTCGATATCTGGCTCGAGCTCTAGCTATCAAAGTTAGTCGGGAATGGGATAACAGTTAAGGTATGATCAAACAAGGCTCTTTACGGCCAATACCAAGCAATAAATGAAGAATAAGTATGAAAGCAATAACGCTAAGAGTAGCCTCGAGCTAGTAAGGACGAATAAGTTAGAGAGAAAAGAGAGAGATATTATTGATCTTGTGGAGAAATAAATGGAGCAACATCATCCCTTTACAAAGTAGTGTGGGTTCCCTTTATATAGGAGAGGAACCTGGATATAGTGCAACATGCGTTAGTTACAAAGTATGGAGATGGGACGGCTAGACGTGATGCTTCGGCATAGGCCCTGGATAGGCCGGCCCTATCAGACTTAGCTGTGTGCCTTGGGAACTTCCCCTTCTGCTCTAGCCTCGACCTTCATCTTCTTTGAGTCGGGCCTCGATGAGTCCCGAGGGAGGGGACTCGGTCGCGGCTCCACGTCCTTGGGGCCTCGAGGTATTCTTCTGAAGTGGCTTGACAGCGAGAAATTAAGTCCTATGATTTTTCCGCATACAGATAGTCTTCGCGTTTCCCAGAACGAAGCGATGGGAGATGATCCTGACACCTGACTCCACGAGCTTCTTACGGTGATGTCATACCAATGATGCAACCTGTGGCACGAGCTTTTTCGGCAATCGGGGTATCCCATGGACTTGTGTATTCGACATCATTCAATGCACTATCGATTCCCGTTCTCCAAGATGAATGCTCCGCCGTCGATTCGGTTCTTCAAGTACGCAGTAATTGCGTCAATCAGTCAATCTTCCAATGCCTCGATGACCGTGTCGTTACCCCCTATAAATGGGGGTGATTTGGCGTTGTTTTTTCTATCCAAGTACCTTTGTCAGCTCATTTTCCCATTCTTCTTATCATCTTCCTCTATCCTTGAACATTATGTTTGGGGCTCATGGCCTTAAGGCCGTTCGGCAGAACTCCCGTAGGCTATGTTGCGGCCTCTCGCCGGAGCTTCCCTTTGCCGAGCATGACCGTGTTGTTCCGTCGCTGTTGTGGTGGTTGTTACGTCTGTTGTTGCTGTTGTCGTTGGCCCGAGATGGTGATAGACGGGGAATCGGTTCTCCCTTTTTGTAGATAGTCATTTGGACTATGCACCGCTGCTCACTCGCCGACCTAGGCCTGGTGTGGAACTTCATCCCTTGGATTTTTCCTTTCCCAAGGGATAAAATGGCACTACCGGCCATCGAGGCTGGGGTCTGTCGAATCTTCAACCTTTGGCTTTGGCGGGCCATGTCTCCTTTATTTGCCTCCTCTACATCCCCTCCTTTTCCTCTTCTTCATCTTTTCCCTTGGCGGGGACCCTCCGCGGGATCGAGCTGGAAACCTAGAGGAGATGGCGGTCGAAGGAATCGCCCCCGAGGATGCGAGCTTCGAGGGGGCGGCGCTCGAGGATGCTGATACCAGAGATGGACCTTCGAGGATAGACCGAGTTCTCAGGTTTCATCACATGTACATCCTTCCATTCCTCCGTTTCTGTGTAGAGATCCTCTATAGGCTTTTGTAATTGTATGTAAAGACCCCTCGAGGGCTCTTGTACATGGATATTTATGAATATGAAGATACTTCCTTGATTTCTGTTTTCGATTCTTGCCTTATTATTGTATGCTCTTGTGCCCTTCGAGGCCTTTGAATGTTTTCCTTTGTTGTTGACCACTGATATCTAACTCGAATGCGAGCGTTCTATCTGATCCTCTATTGATTGACATGCTCTTTTCCGAGCCCATCGCCGTACCTCGGACCAAGCCTGAATTGATTTGATAGGCTCGGGCTATCGGGCCCTCCGAGTTGCATGGAGATAGTACGCTGAGTTTTGGAGCTTTCGAGAGTGGTATCCTGAGTAAAGGTCAGCTTCGGGTACCTAGGGGTCTGCTTTGAACCTGATGCAGATAGCCTTTTAAAGGTAGTTGATAGACTTCCGTTGAGGGGTTGCCTATGCTTAGGCGATGCCTCGAGCCCTCTTAGAGCCTTCATGATCGGAGCTTTTGCATGCTTACTCTTCTTTTTAGAAAGAAAAACCATGAGATCGGGTACTGCCTCGAATTCTATGATGGCGTTGAAGGCTTACCGAAGCTTGACTTCTTTTTTGGCAGAGATCCTCGAGGTCGGGCACTACCTCGAGACTGGAGATGATACATTTGACTCATTGAGGCCTAACTTTTTGTCGATGGATGCCTCTGGGGTCGAGTACCACCCCGGGATCTGTACCGAGGCTATTGGCCTCCCGGGACTTTACTCTGGATAGGCGAATAGTTGTTGTTTCCACATATATATGGGGTGTCTTTTGCTTCTTTGGGAGATCACATTATTTCGGATAACTATCCCTCCGCCTTGGCATCGGGTCCTTCGTCTCTTCAGGCGCAAAAGGCGTTAGCGCACGTCCTTGCTTTAGTCTGTCAATTCTACTATAGCTATGGTAGCTACTTCGGGGCCGGCCCGGCATGGAGGGGAGAGTTCCACTCCCAGCGTTCAGGATCCCCGGGAGTTCACTCTGAAGACTGCGTCTTTGATAAGAGAGGAACATCTGGAGATGGTGAGGAGATACTGCGGATGGAGAGAGGGGATAACACTGCAGGTGCTTTCCCTGGATGAGAGTATTACGGACTCTGCTGATGGATTCTTGAACGTATACATATATCCTTTCGCATTTGGCCCCCTTGATAGGGTCGTGCTTGATTTCTTCTTGAAGTATCGGGTTACTTTGGCGCAGATACATCCATCGTTTTGGCAAGTGGTGCTGATGATAAGGTTCTTTGCGGAGAAGGCTGGGCTTGAATTCACGCTCAACTACCTCGTCAGGTTGTACCGGCCCTTTCATCACCGAGGCCTATTAATATTGTGGTGTCGTTCGTCTACTCCCTTCGTTGTCGATGATAAAGAAGATGGGGATCAAGAGTGGGTCAGACGATTTTTCCGGGTCCGGACGACTGATATTATCCCCGTGGAGCTCATGTCATTTCTTGAGGGATGGAATTATGCACGTGAGCGGGGTGTCTCGTGCTTCCTTAGATTTGCTTATAGTAAAAACCAGTTGAGTAATTGTGTCTCCTTCCTTTTTGATTGCAGCAACTTCATGGATGTCGGGCGAAGTTCTCGGTCTGCCTGGCTGGGTCCGGAAGTTGGCGATCTATTCGACTTGCGATAAACGTAGGTGGCGAGCTGTGTCCCGTGACAGATGGGAAGTGAAATACCAGGGTATGCGCGTACACTACTCCTGCCTTGGTCTTCATATATTTGAGATGACATTTTCCTCTTTCTTTTGTATCGGCTTTGCCGTTGTATGTATCGGGCGGTTCCTTGAGGCGAGATTGTGCCCCTCCGGAGAGGGGAAGGAGTCATCGGCCTCAGAGCCGAGGGACGATAGCGGTAAATGGGATTCGCACCCGCAATGTGATGGAGCTTTTAATGGGGCTCAACGGGCCCGTGTCTTTGATGAGAGGACATCGCCCGAGCCTGCTGTTCCCGGAGCATCTGATTCTAGAACGATGGTTCCTTCGAGTGAATATGCTTTGCCCGAGGTTGTCTCTTTCGGGGCCGA